TTGTATGTGGGCGAAAGCCTATTTCTTCACTGTCACTGTCACTTTCAATTTCTTTTTTAACTTCTCTATATGCCCAACTCATATGCGTACGCTCGGATCTATTAACACAAAAGCACTGGTTGTACAGTGGTCAAGAACAGAAAAATATTCACAGCTATTTTGCTTATATGGATGCTTTTAATTTAGCCGATTAACTCGAAAGGAAAAAAGAACTACCACAGAATTTATTTCCCAGTCACTTTGGTACTTTATCTTTTATTGGTTTGATTTGAAGTAAAATAAGTTGGTAATCACTCACTTACATGTTTCTTTGGGTTTTTTGGTTCTTAAAATATTATCCGTTGGGCGCCAGTTATTAAGCTCGTCACTCCAGTGATTCCAAGTCGATGTCCTCTAGATATCCTTGGTCCTGGGAAGTGGATTTACGACGGAGGAAACTGTTCCTCTTTAATCATAGGCCTTGTGGCTCTATGAAGTTTTATCAAATAAAGATTCGATTGGATGACGGCAAATGCCGGAGATTTATTCAAACAGTCAAGGCTGATGGGTAGCACAAAACTGAAACTTATCCAATAAACATTTTAAAGCTAAACCTAAGAATGCCCAGTGGAAAAGTACTGGCAAGCAGCTCCTCTTACAAATCCGTCGCTGCTTGCTCAGCATATTGCGGCACAAACAGTCATTGCGGGTCGCTACATAACTTGCTGGCCTGCGCATGCGAGGGCAGTTCGTGTAATCTTTGAGAGAGTTGCTTGTTAACTTATAAACTTCGGCTCCGCCCGAAGTTAGCTTTCCTTTCTTGTTTTTTTTAATATTACCTAATTTGTCTATATATTGAAAAAACCACTAATCCGTAGATCAGTCTAAAAAAAATTTTATCGAGTGACGACGGTACTCTGCCAGTTGAAATTCAGTTAATTTAAAGTGCGTGAAAAGTATTTTTTTGCCAGTGTTAAATTTAAAGAGTGAAAGTTTTATTTTTTACCAGTGACAAAAAGTGTGTGTTTAAAATAAAAGAAAGAATTCTTAAAACATATATTTTGGTAAGTCTATTCCCCTAAAAGCATCCCTTGATATGAGATTTATGAAGAAGGAATTTAATCCTTTGTAAATTTCCTATTTCCATTTTTTACCATAATTGTGAATTCCATAATTGTGAAAATAATTTAATTTGAATTTTTTCCAACAGCACCAAAAAAAATGCCACGTGTTTCCCGCACATCCCAGGAGTAACGCCGCCAAGCTGCTTTAAACCGCAGCAGAGCCCGCTACCAACAAAATGCGGTGGAAATAAGAAGCAGGAACTCGCAACACATCGCCAATGTACGAGCAAGCAACCCAGACTTACAGGAGGAAAGTCGTGCGCAGAATTCTGCAGCACGGGATCAGAGGAGACGCAGCGAAAGGATTCGCAATCTAGAGCGCCTTTGCGATACTGCAGCACATGCTGATCGGCGACTGGATCTTCAATTCCGTGTTCCAGAGAGGGTTCGGGACATGGAAGCACGTGTGAACCGTCGGGAGAACCCGGAGGAACGGCGACGAGAGCAGTTGCAAAACACTGTTGACCATTCTACCCGGAGGGCTAATCCAGAAATACGTTTCGCAGAGCGGATTCGGGACGCAGAATCGCATTTTGATCGTCGACAGAACCCAGACTATCGTGCTTCGGAGAGGATACGGGACATGGAAGCACGGGCGACCCGTCGAGGGGACCCCGAGGAGCGGCGACGAGAGCGGTATAAAACACTGCTGACCATTCTACACGGAGGGATAATCCAGAGCACCGAATTCCTGAACGGATTAGGGACATGGAGGCACACTCGGCCCGCCGAGAGAACCTTGAGGAGCGGCGACGAGAGCAGGTGCAAAATACTGCTGATCATGCGACGCGGAGGACTATTCCGGAGTACCGAAATCCGGAACGGGTTCGGGACGCCACAGCGCGTGCTATTCGTCGAGAGGACTCCGAGGAGCGGCGACAAGAGCAGGTGCAAAATACTGCTGACCATGCGACGCGGAGGACTATTCCTGAGTACCGAAATTCGGAACGGGTACGGGACGGGTATTCGTCGAGAGGACTCCGAGGAACGGCGACAAGAGCAGGTGCAAAATACTGCTGACCATGCCTCTCGGAGGACCAATCCCGAATTTCGAATTCAAGAGCGAATTCGGGACGCCGCAGCGCGAGCTGCTCATCGCGAGGACCCAGAAGGGATACGGAAGACAGGCAGCGAGAACGGGAAAGGGACGCCGATTACAGGAGAGCAACCAGGAGAAATCCCATCGCAAGAACACAGGAGCAACGGATAAACACATCACAACGCCGGGAAACACGACAACAGCGGAGGATTCGGGAAGAACAAATTCGGCAAATGGCAGAGGATCGATTAATAAACTTCAGGATGGACCCCCAAAATCGACTGGATGCCTCCCAAAGGCAGTCGCAACGCAATATGGACGCAAGAGCTCAACTTTCGGAGGACGAACTGGATCAGGAACGAGAACAACAGCGAAATAGGATTCGAGCAACAGCAAGGGATCTTTATCACAGGAACATAAAGGAAGGACCAACGGAAATTTGTATTTGCTGTGGAGGAACATGGTTCCGTTCGCAGGTAAGTGGATTATACATCCTGGCTATCTTCTCTAAATTTCCTCTCCTAAACGTTGGCAACGCCTTTTATCTGTCAAGGAAGTTTCCCAGTCCGTCCGGTAAATATAACTTTTGCCACACTTGTCGTCGTGCCATCTCTTTGGGCAAACTCCCATCACTCTGCATTTCTAATGGGTTCGACTTCCCAGAAATCCCTGAGTGCTTAAATGGACTCACCTGCCTCGAAGAACGCCTTATTTCGCCGAGAATCCCTTTTATGAGGATTATTTCCCTCGGCTATGAAAGGCAATGCGGAATCAGAGGGGCAGTAGTGAACGTTCCAATTTCAGTTCCTGATATTGTGACTGCGCTTCCGCGCTCTTTCGACTCTACTCATGTCATCCAAGTCCATTTAAAAAGGAGACTAGAGTACGCTCACAATTTCATGACTGAAACAATTCGACCCGCTCGGGTCCTTGAAGCTGTACGGTACTTAGTGAATACCGAACTCTACAGAAAGCACAATATTTCACTGAACGAATCATGGCTAGCAGGACTTCAAGGAATTAATGAAATTCCTTTTATTGCGGATGAATCTGATCGCGAAGCAGTAGAGCAACTTCTTCAGCAGCAACACCTATCCCAAAATGCTGCAGAGCTCGAAGAAAATTTAAATCCCGGAGGCCATGAAACATTATTGGAAAATAATGATACTGCAATTCAGCGCATTGCATTGGCACCGGGTGAAGGCCGTCGGCAAACAAGCTTAACGCTTGACGAAGACGCAGAGGAACTTTCCTTTCCAACTATTTCTTGCGGAGAAATATTTAAAGGAAATACAACCTATGCGAAAAAAGCCAGATCTCAAATCCGATTTTACGACCGTCGCTGCGCTGTAGTTCCTAAAGTTTTATAAATGTATACATTTTACGAAATGCAGCGCATTCAAAATTCTATTTCAATTGCTTTACGCAAAAAGTCGGGAGCAGTTACAGCTGGTAATCTGCGGGATGAGTCATTTGTTGACAGACTTGTTCAAAATGATGATGGCTACCACATCCTTAAAGGCTTACGTTCTGCACCAGCTCATTGGGAGGCTGAAAAAAAAAGTTATTGCTATGATTCGACAATTTGGGTTGCCAACCTTTTTCATTACTCTTTCCGCTGCTGAAACTAAGTGGAATGAACTTTTAGGTATCCTCTCCCTTCTATTGGACAATAGGGCTATAAGCGAGGAAGAAGCGGCAGCTCTTTCCAGCTCCGAAAAGGCTCGGTTAATCCGATCCGATCCAGTGACGTGCTCCAGGTACTTCGATTATAGGTTGCGGCATTTAATGAAATTGTTCAAAACCGATATTTTTGGGGAATTCAATGTTTCCCATTTTTATTGGAGAATCGAATTCCAGCACAGACGATCTCCTCACTCTCATGGCATGTACTGGCTTGCTGGTGCTCCTAAGCTCGAAGACGCCGAAAATACCGAGCAAGTAATAAACTTTATCGATAGGTTTATTACTACAAATGGAGACGATCCTGAGCTACAAGAAGTAATTCAGTATCAACGCCACAAGCATAGTGCTTCCTGCCTGAGAGAGTTACTCGGACAGGAGTTCTGCCGATTCAATTTGCCATATCCTCCTATGCCCGAAACGTTTCTTTTGCATCCAATGGAAGAAAACGAAGTAAATGTTGAAGAACATGTGTTGAAAACTTTGTTCAAAAAAATTACGGAAGCTTTAAGGACCATTTCTAATGAAGACGCAGCTTTATATAATAATTTTTACTATTTTCTGACCCACCTTGAAACTAATTTTGAAGCCTACAAATTAGCCTTACGTTCCAGCTTGAAAAAGCCACAAATTTTTCTTCGCAGACAATTTTTCGACCGATTGCTAAATGCTTATAATAGAGATTGTTGCGGGAATTCGAAGTTGTTTAGCGCCGCCCGAGTAAAGACGCCCGTGTAGATAATTGTTGATAATTGTTTATTGTTTTTCTTCATTTATAACGGGGCAGCAAGGGCTAACAGTGGTACAGTCGGTAACCACTCTGCGATAGCAGCACTTTAAATTCCTAGTAAATTAATAGTGTTACAATTCATAATCAAAACTTAAATATTAATATGTCCTCACTTTTCGTCCGCTTCCCTCGAGTGTCAAATAGAAAAGATAGCTTAGGCACATGGTTACCGGCTGAGTTAACAGAGATTCAACACCCGCTTAAACTATCGATTCTGCAACTTCGGCGTTGCCGGATGCCGCGGGAGCAGTTTTGCTATCTATCGTAACACTCCCCACTTGTATATTCCGCCAGGGATCTACCAAACTACTCTCGATAGATAGAACTGCCAGCTTCGTCGCGGGTCTGGTATAAACGCCAGATTGGGTTCTCACCGCGGCGCTCCTTACTTCAGGATTCTTCCTTTCGGCCACTGGCTACGCGGCTGTCCGGGATCGCACACATACATGATATCCCCTTCTACAAGAGGCTTAGCCTTTTCGCACCACTTGGTCCGCCTAGTGATCACTGGCAGGTATTCTTGAAGCCATCGCCTCCAGAATGAGTCCGCCGGTTGTTGTGATTCCCTCCAGCCTTTCTTGAGCTGCACTCCTTCGGGTAGGGGCTCCATCGTCGGTCCTCTTCCAGTTGAGCTTCCAAGCAGGAAATGATTCGGTGTCAGTGATTCTTCGTTCTCATCTTCCAATGGAATGTATGTTAGGGGTCGCGAGTTGACGATCTCCTCCGCCTCCATTAGAGCGGCTTTCAGCAACTCATCCGATGGTAGTTTGTCAAGGAGGATAGATTCCAACGCCGTCTTCACGGAACGCACCAAGCGCTCCCATGCCCCACCCATGTGGGGAGATGTGGGTGGAATGAACTTCCATGCCATTTGTGGTCCAGTGAACTCGCGAGAGAGTAGATCCTTGTCCACATCTTCAAACGCCCTACGCAACTCCGTGCAGGCTCTTTGAAAATTGGTGCCGTTGTCGCTCCAGAGTTCCACTGGGCACCCTCGTCGGGCAATAAAACTGCGCACCGCTAGAATACAAGTGTCAGTTGTTAATGAATACGCTACCTCTAGATGTATTGCCCTTGTAGAGAGGCAGGTGAAGAGCACGCCGTATCGTTTCTCTGAACTGCGTCTGACCCGCACCATCAGAGGCCCAAAGTAGTCCACACCCGTGTAGCTGAAAGGCCTATGAAAGGCTGCTACTCTTGGATAGGGAAGTTCCGCCATGCGCGGTGGTTTGGGGGCCGTCTGTCGGTTCTTGCATTGCTGGCAGGAGTGTCGTATCCGAGCAAGGGTGGATCTCAGCTTTGGTATCCAAAATCTTTGTCGTAGTTCGTTGACCACCGTCTCGTGGTTAGCGTGCAGAAATCTTCGGTGAAATTCCTTTATGATGAGCTGCGTAATGTGGCTGCTGCAGGGGAGTACGACGCGGTCGCTTCCCTTGATCATCTTGGCACGTTCATCCAGCTTTAATACGCCATCGGAATCCATATACGGTCCCAGCTTGTATAGTAGGTTATTCTTCTTCAATGGTTTTCCTTGTAAGATTAACCGTATCTCCATCTGGAAGTACTCCGCCTGAGCGTACGACCACAGAAGACTCTCCGCGACCCTGGTATCTTCTTGTGATGGCTGATTTTCGATGTCCGATCGTTGTAGAGCCTTGGCCTTCCATCGCCTCATACACCATACCGTTCTTGCGGTACTCCATAGCAGACGGGTCCAGATTGAGAACCGCTCAGAGTCTATGAGGGTCGCGCGGCCTACGTCTGTGAATCCGTCACATACGCCGATGAATTGCGCCTTCAGTTCCATTCCTGACTCGTCTCCTTCTTCCGCCTCTGTCAGCGGCCAAAATTGCCTCTCTTGCCAAAGAAATCTCGGCCCGTTTAACCATCGACTTTCTCGGTTGAAATCAGGTCCTTTGTTCCACTTAGTGGCGTCGTCCGCCACGTTCTCGGAGGAAGGTACCCAGCGCCAGTCCTTGACGCTAGTACCGTCTAGAATCTCGATCACACGGAATGCTACAAATTGTTTGTACTTCCTCTGGTCCGATCGCAGCCAACTCAGCACGGTCCTCGAGTCGGTCCAGAAAGTCCGTGTGCTCAGTTTCGCGCCAAGTGAAAGCTCCAGAGTTTGAGCCAACCTCGCTCCAAGCACTGCTCCCATGAGTTCAAGCCTTGGTATGGATGTCGGTCTTAGAGGGGCTACCTTGGTTTTGCTGCCCAGTAGACTGCAGTGGATACCTGCCTCATTTTGAAATCGTATATAACTCACGGCGGCAAATCCATTCTCGCTTGCGTCCACGAAGGTGTGCATCTCCACTTCTGAATCCATCAGCGACTCCTTCATGTGGCATCTTGGGTTGGTCATTTTCTCAACGTCCGGGATATACCGAAGCCATCGCTTCCATTTAATCCATTCTGCCTCAGGTATGGGGTCATCCCAGGTACATCCACTTCGCCATATTTCCTGAAATATTATTTTTGCATACATCACGTAGAAGGATATGAGCCCTAAAGGATCATATATAGACATCAACACACTGAGAAACTCTCGTTTGGTGGGTCGTTGCCTTCCTTGGAGAAGTTCTTTATGGCGATATCGTGGGGATACACGGTAGCGGATGAGATCTTCCTTCGTGTCCCACCACATTCCCAGCACCTTCTCGGTCTGTCCATCCGTTGTTTCGTCTAGTCTCACTAGCGTGGGTGCTCCTTCGCCGAGTGCGCTTAATACTTCTCTGGAATTCGATACCCAGTTTCGAATGAGGAATCCGCCCTGAAGATGAATGTAGTGGACCTGACGCGCGAGGCTTATAGCTTCTTCCTCCGTGTCGACGCTGTCCAGCATGTCGTCTACATAGTGATTCTCCAATATGCACTTCACCGCTCGTGGGTATTCCTTCTTGAACGACTCTGCATTTCTGTTCTTCACGTACTGGGCACAGCTGGGGGAGCAACTAGCCCCAAACGTCATTACCTGCATGGCGTAGTTCTCTCTCCGTTGTGTGTTTGGGTCTATAAATACAAAGCGTTGGTATCTCTGATCTTCTGTGTGTATCCTGACCTGATGAAACATCTCGGCGATATCGCCGCCGATAGCAATACGTTTCTCTCTAAACCTGTGAAGTATTGGTACCAACTGCGCTAGTTGGTCAGGTCCCTTCAGCAGCATTGTGTTCAGCGAGATCCCTTCCGTCTTTGCAGCCGCATCCCAGACTATGCGAAGCTTTCCTGGCTTGTTCACGTTTAGCACGGGAAAGATAGGTAGATACCAATATGGCTTTTCCTCAGCTTCTTCCGACGTAATGGGCCGTGCATATCCTTTCATCACGTACTCATCTAGCTGTCGGCGAATTCCCTTCGCAAGCTCCGGCTCGCGAGTCAGTTTCTGGTACAGGCATCGTGCCCGCTTTAGGGCTGTAGGTAAACTATCCGGCAGCTTGTCATCTTTATACCTCCACAGCAGACCTGTTTCAAATCGGCCATTTATACGCCTCGTGTTCTTCTCCAGCTGCTGTATAGCCAACTGGTCATCATTGGATACGCTCTTGCTATTCATCTCTGGTCTAGGGCCGCCGTCCGACCACATGCACTGCTCAAGCATGCGCAAGATCTCCTTGTTCTCGTCAGCTTCACATGCACATATGTGAAACACGTGGTAGTTTGGGGTTATGTCTTCACCCACACTGTTGGAGCTTCTTCCTTTAATCGTCCACCCCAATCGGGTCTTAGCGATCGGTTCTTCTGTTGTGCCTTCTTTGGTGCGAAGCACGCGCCCTAGTTTGCAATTATTGAGACCTATCAAGAGCCTGGGCTGTGCTGAGTCGTATCCGGACAGTGGTAGTTGTCGAAGGTGTGTGTGTTGTGCTTTTAGGTGGGTTATATCCAACGACTGTGACGGGAGATCAAGAGACTGGACAGAGTGAACGTCGCGAAGATCATATTGCTTCGTTTGGCCAATGCCGGAGATCCTTAAGTCGAGTCCGACCGAGCTGTCCTCATACCGGTGCATGCCGGCAGTCCACTGCATACATAGAGGCTGCGGTTGTCCCTTCACTCCAAGGTCTTCTAGCAATGGGGCGTCGATAAAGGTTAGAGATGACCCGTCGTCGATGAAGGCATATGTGTTGACTTGCCTACAATTTCCATAAAAAGTCACTGGCAATACCCTGAACAGCATTTCCACACCTTCTTGTCGGTGTGCATGGCACCTGGCTTGGACGGGAGCCGTGCTGCCGCGATGCAACAGGGGATGATGGCGTTCTAGGCATCGATCTATTCCGCAAGGATTGGGGACGCCGCATCTTTCCACCTTGTGGCTCTGGAAACATCTCCAGCACAAGCCACACCGTCGAGTATCATTCCAGCGATCGCGGGTCGTTATTTCCAGGAATGCTGGACACTCCTGCAGGGTTCTGCAATTGCGGGTGCACAGCCGACAGCCTTGGCGCACAGCGTGTGTATGTACCGTGCCCCTTCTTTTCGTTCTTGACGACGAGCTTGGGACTATCACATGTCTCGCTCCTTCTACCATCTGCGATAGCCACGTACTAAACTTTCCCAAAATACATACTGTTAGAGAGGCTTTGTGCATTCCCCGAAACGTCTGAACCATCGATGGCAACTTGCTCACTAGCTCCTGCGTGAGCGCTGGGTTGTTTAAGTACTGGTCCAACTTGGAGGCTTTCATCGTAGCACAAACATTTTGCACCTCCACCGAGAAGTCAACCAGCATTTCAAGCTTATTCTCCCTCACTTGAGGAAATTGTCTAATCCTTGTCACTAACAATTCAATGATAATTTCGGGTCGCCCAAATCGCATTCTTAGCGTGGCGATTATCTGCGGAACACAGTCCGCATGCAGCATTAGACTTTGTACTGCGTTCTTGGCTGGTCCTTCCAACGCATGCCGAAGCCGCATTAGGTTCTCGGCATCCGTGAATCCGCATAGCTCCGTCGTCTGTTCATACGTTGCGATGAATAAGGGCCAGTCCTCCGGCCTTCCGGAAAACTTCACCAACTCAGCCACGCTAGTCTTCCTCGCTGTCAATTGTTCGTACGATGGTCTGCCCACAGGTTTAGTGACCCTAGCAGCTGAGTTGTCCTCCCCACTGGTAGAAAAGAGCCATGGGGGCCCAGCGTGGGCTCTCTGCGTACTGCCGTTTCCTTCCACAACGGCAACTTCACCAATTGTGTCCGTACCAGCATTCTGGTACCGTGTACTAGATGCTCCAGGCATCTTTTCTGCGTGGCCAGTCTCCGATAGCCTCTCCCTTGGGAGCTTGCCCATGAGCGCCTTTCGCCTGTGTAGAAGTTGTTGTCGCAACTGCAGCAACTGATCTTCTTCCTCCAACAACCTTAGCTCCGTCTGCAGGTCTTGCGCTTCCTTCGAGGCCTCGTCGACGTCATTAGTTCCGATCCTCATCTGGTCGCCACCTGAGTAACTTTGGTAGTTGTCCCCAGCCGTCAGGCTGGTCAGCTTTTCTGTCCTGATCAACGTCGAGTTCTGTGCATGGACGTCTACGTCACACTCTGCACAGATCCATCCTACGCCGCCATCCTCTAGAGCAGCACACTTAGGATGGCACATGCTCACGCAGCCGGCGCCAATGCAGCCAACTGTCACGTGCTCGTCCTCCACTTCACAGAGGAAGCATGTCGCCACCAATCTTGCCTCTCCACCGGATCCAGTAGGCATCTCCATGTTGATTTCGCTCTCTGACTCAAGTATTCTCCAAGAATACACCAGAAAAGAATTTAAAGAAATGTTGCGATAATTCGAAGTTGTTTAGCGCCGCCCGAGTAAAGACGCCCGTGTAGATAATTGTTGATAATTGTTTATTGTTTTTCTTCATTTATAACGGGGCAGCAAGGGCTAACAGTGGTACAGTCGGTAACCACTCTGCGATAGCAGCACTTTAAATTCCTAGTAAATTAATAGTGTTACAATTCATAATCAAAACTTAAATATTAATATGTCCTCACTTTTCGTCCGCTTCCCTCGAGTGTCAAATAGAAAAGAAAGCTTAGGCACATGGTTACCGGCTGAGTTAACAGAGATTCAACACCCGCTTAAACTATTGATTCTGCAACTTCGGCGTTGCCGGATGCCGCGGGAGCAGTTTTTCTATCTATCGTAACAGAGATATTCTAGGCTTACACAGATCTAATATGGATATTCAATTTATCCTAGATGCTTACGCCTGTTGTAGTTATATTATTAACTACATAAACAAATCGAACAGAGGCGTATCGCAGTTGCTCCGTGAAGACATGGCATATGGAGCCATGGAATATTTCTATTAAAAGGAAATTACAACACCTCGGGAATAATTTTATTAACGCTACAGAAATATCGGCCCAAGAAGCAGCTTACAATATTTTGGGTCTGCATATGTCGGAGGCAAGTGAAGGTACTATTTTTATAAACACTTGCCATCCAGACAAACGAGTTAGATTGACTCGCTCAAATGAAGAATTAGAGCGACTACCAAACAACTCGGTGGATATTTTTGAGCGTAATATTCTTGACCGTTATGTGCAAAGGCATGCGCAGTTAGAAGGAATTTGTTTAGCAGATTTCGCGGCTTGGTACAGATTTCAGAGCTTCCAAGAGCTCATGGTACAGAGCTTGGTACAGCGAAATTCACGATCTGCCGCTAATTATAGGGAAGACTATGAGGTAGCAAATGATGTGGAAGTAGATGACGAAGATGAAGTTGCTGAGCAAAGCTCTGGAAGATTTGCAAGAGGATAGGGGAGATAATGCTCCTGTTGCGGAAGAACCTGCCTCCCAATTTTTAGACGAAGAGTTTAGAGCTTTGGCAGTACCAAATATAGAGCGGAACGTAAATATTCTTCAGGATGAAATCGCGATAAATAACCCTGAAGAAGACGACGAACTTCAATTAATTAGACTCCCCCCGTAAGTTTCCAATGATGACCTTTGTTCGCTAACTCGGTCCCTCAACTGTTGTTTGTAAAAATATTTTTTACGAATATGTTGGTGGAGGGGCCGGTGTAGGAAAAAGCAGACTGATTTCTACCATCTATCAGTCTGTGACTTGGCGAGCAAACAAACTTCCTGGTGCTACGGATTCTGCAAAGGTTTTATTTTGTGCTCCAACTGGAAAAGCTGCTTTTGGAATTGGAGGACTGACACTTCATTCCGTGTTTTCTCTTCCAATTAATCAAGCTTTAGGTCCCTTGAGACCTTTAAGCAATGATAGTTTAAATACAATCCATTGCAAGTTAATTGATCTCCAATTGATTATAATTGATGAAATTTCTATGGTTGGTTCTAAAATGCTTTCATTTTTGGATCAACGGCTTCGTCAAATTTTCCGAAGCCCTGACATATGTTTTGGTGGAAAATCAATTATAGTTTTTGGAGACCTAAAGCAGCTTTCCCCAGTTGGAGACAGTTGGATATTTTAAGAGAGGACAAATGATCCTTATAGCGTTTTAGCAGTAAATTGCTTATGGAGCAACTTTAAGTATTTTGAGCTCACAGAAATAATGCGCCAAAGAGGCGATCATGCATTTGCTCAAGCCCTGAATCATTTATCTGAGGCTTGCATGACAATTGCAGATATAGAGCTCCTTAAACAAAGAGTTGTTTCACCCAGCGAAGTTCCTAATGATGCCATTCATTTATTTTCTTCTAACGAAGTTAACAATTACAATTCCATAAAACTAGCGCAAATTGGGACGGAGGAGCTGGTTTCCACTGCTGTTGATACAGTGAAAACTGCGAACATATCTGCACGAAACAGATAAAACACGTTAAGATATGCTCAAAATATGAAAACCTCTGAAACACAGGGTTTGCCATATAATCTTCATCTCAAAACAACTGCTAAATATATGGTAACCGTCAATATAGACACAAGTGACGGACTTGTAAATGGAGCAACTGGTCAGCTGATGCAAATTGATCATTGCTTAGTGAATGGCTCGAATTTAGTAACGCGACATTGGATTAAATTTTTTGAACCCACGGTGGGCGCTATTGCCAGATCAAAGGTTCGGAACAGTCCCGATCCCGAATGGACTCCAATATTAAAAGCCTCTCGAGTTTTTCAATGTGGAAGATCCGAACATGCTTCTGTTGACCGAAAACAATTCCCAATTGTTCCTGCTGAGGCTATTACCATCCACAAGAGCCAAGGAGCAACATATAGCAAAGTCACCTTCTTCTGCATCTGCATCTTAAAAGAGGCCTCAAGCGAGCTTCGCTATATGTTGGATGCAGCAGGGCTACTAGCGCATCAGGACTTTTCCTTCTAGGCGACTTTGTTCCTCCAACAAGATTTGGAGCTCAAAATGTCCAAGAAGAACTTCAAAAGTTAAGAGAGGAAAAGTTCTTGACTACGCATTATGAAATTTTGGTCAGCAGTAATGAACAAATCTCCCTATATTACCATAATGTTGAGTCTCTTCGAAGCTATCGCGAAGATATTTTCAACTATTTATTTCTTTTTTTTTCTATTATTTGTTCTGCAAATTTTCTTTGTTTTGTCGAAACTTGGACTCTTCCCAGCGAAGACTTTTCTTTACAAGGTTTCGGCATTATAAGAAGAATTGATAGCGATTGAATGGTATTGGCAAAAATGGAATTATGATTTATGCCAAGCAAAATATTGCCGAAAATGTAGTTTTCTTTCAAATATCTCGATACATCCTTTATTGTTGTTTATAGGAACCCTGCTTTTCCTATAACACAATTTCGAAATGAAATTATGGCGGATGTTGAAAGGATACGCAGCTTGAAAAATAATAGCAAATTGGTTATTTTAGGAGATTTTAATATATGCAGATCTACAAACACTGATCGACTTGAGGAATCTTTAAATGAATTTAATCTTAGTCCAATAAACAATTGTGCTACTACCAAACATTTGACGCAAATCGATTGGATATTTGCTGATGATGAGCTAAGGAATGCTGATGATGAGCTAAGGAAACGAGGTATAGTCATCATGATGGAATTTTTCTTAAATGTTAAGATTAGTTAATTTAAGTTAAGATTTGTTAATTAATTTACTAACTTATTTATTTATTTTTATTGTATATATTTACATTTTTCATTAATTAGTATTAGAAATATATTTGTATATTATTTACAGATTTTTAAAAATTGTTTAATTATAAAGTGCAATATAGATTAAGTTAATATAGTATTTCCCTCTCGTGGATTGAGACCTTGTCGTGGTGAGGGGGCTGAGTATGTGAAGAATCATAATAAATGTCACGGAAACCAGCATCAATCCTTTGTTTTAATTAGTTTGTAAAAAAGAAATAAATCTTCCACAGATTCAAAATGAAAAGTAATATTTAATAAGTCTATTGTCTCAAAAGATGGCATAACCATTATGTAAAAGTTCGAGGGGTTCAAAGTTTGGAGATTTATTGGTGATAGCTATGGTAGACATATTCGATGATTGAATATAGTAAATAATAAAAATGTTCCTATATGTACCAGTTCTCAATAAAAATTCAAAATTACGTTTAAAATGTGAAGAAAACATGAAATTTGTAGTGTTCCGATCGTTCAGATATATAGAAGTTATAAGATATAGTCGGCCGATCGCTATTAAATTTTTTAATAAACGAAAGATGTGGCAATTATAGAATCCATAGAAAATCCTAACTCCCTAACTTTAAAAACACCAAAGTTATGACATTTCCAATAAATCAGTTATATGGCAGCTATCAGATATAGCCGACCGATCCTTAAGAAATTTTGATGGGTCAAATCGATTGACCAAAAAAAGAATCTTTTGTTTCAACTTTCTATCTTTAAAAACACGAAAGTTGGGTAATTATCGATCTGTACGATGTTGCACCTTTCTATCTTCAAAAAAACGAAAGTTGCGTCAGTTATATGGCAGCTATAGGATATAGTCAGCCGATTTATATGAAACTTGATAAGTCGTATTATTCTGCCAAAAAATATAATCCATAGAAAATGCCAACTTTCTAGCTCGCAAAACGCCAAGGTTATGCCATTTCTGATCAATCAGTTATATAGAAGCTATAGGATATAGTCGGCCGATCCTTATGAAATTTGGTAGGTCGTATTATTTTGCCAAAAATAGCGTTTGTACAATATTCGAACTCCCTAACGCTAAAAAAAACCGGAGTTATACCATTTCCGATCAATCAGTTATATGGCAGCTATCAGATATAGCCGACCGATACTTAAGAAATTTTAATGGGTCAAATCGATTGACCAAAAATAGAATCTTTTGTTTCAACTTTCTATCTTTAAAAACACGAAAGTTGGGTAATTATCGATCTGTACGAAGTTGCACCTTTCTATCTTCAAAAAAACGAAAGTTGCGTCAGTTATATGGCAGCTATAGGATATAGTCGGCCGATTTATATGAAACTTGATAAGTCGTATTATTCTGCCATAAAATATAATCCATAGAAAATGCCAACTTTCTAGCTCGAAAAACGCCAAAGTTATGCCATTTCCGATCAATCAGTTATATGGCAGCTATAGGATATAGTCGGCCGATCCTTATGAAATTTGGCATGTCGTATTATTTTGGCAAAAATATAATCCATAGAAAATCCCAACTTTCTAGCTCGAAAAACGCCAAAGTTATGCCATTTCCGATCAATCAGTTATATGGCAGCTATAGGATATAGTCGGCCGATCCTTTTGAAATTTGGTAGGTCGTATTATTTTGCCAA